ATAAAAAAATATATATATATATTTATCCTGAAGCACCATGCTGTCAGTGACAGGATAATAGCCTACACCTACAAGGAAGACCAGTTAATATTACTAGTATTCAAATTTATGTACTAACCACCAAAGCCAAAAATGAGGAAATTGAAGACTTTTACCAACTTCTACAGTCTGGAATTGACTGAACGTGCAACCAAGATGTGTTAATTATCAATGGTGATTGGAATGCAAAAGTTGGAAGCAAAGAAGCAACACCTGTAGTTGGAAAATATGGCCTTGGTAATAGAAATGACACTGGAGATCGCATGATACAATTTTTGCAAATACCTTCATTCAACAACACAAAAGGTGGCTATACACATGGACTTTGTCAGATGGAGTACCCAAGAATCAGACTAACTATATCTGTGGCAAGAGGTGATGGCAAGGTCACTATCTTCAGCTAAAACAAGGTCAGGAGCTGACTGTGGAACAGACCATCAACTGCTCATATGCAAGTTCAAGTTGAAGCTGAAGACAACTAAAAGAAGTCCATGAGAGACAAAATATGACCTTGATTATATCCCGCATGAATTTAGAAACCATCTAAAGAAGAGATTTGATGCACTGAACAACAATGACTGAAAACCAGGAATTGTTGAATGACATCAAGAACATCATCCATGAAGAAAGCAAAAGGTCATTTAAGACAGGAAAGAAAGAAAGACAAGACCAAAATGGGTATCAGAAGAGACTCAAACTTGCCCTTGACTGGAGAGTAGCTAAAGCAGATGGAAGAATCGATAGGATAAAAGAGCTGAACAGAGGATTTCAAAGATCAGCTTGAGAAGAGAAAGTCAATTATTATAACGAAATGTGCAAAGACCTGGAGCTAGAAAACCAAAAGGGAAGAACACGTTCAGCGTTTTTCAAGCTGAAAGAACTGAGGAAAAAATTTAAGCCTTGAGTTGCTATACTGAAAGTTTTCATAGCCATATTGTTGAATGATGCAGGACTCATCAAATGAAGATGGATGGAATATACATAGCCACTATACCAAAAAAGAATTGGCAGATGATCATCCATTTCAGGAGGTGGCATATGATCAAGAACCAATGGTATTGAAGGAAGAAGTCGAAGCTGCATGGAAGGAACTGGCGAAAAACAAGCCTCCAGGAATTGATGTAATACCCATTGAGATATTTCAACAAACAGATGCTGCACTGGAGGCACTCACTCATCTATGCCAAGAGATTTGGAAGAGAGCTACCTGGCCAACTGACTGGAAGAGATGCATATTTGTACCCATTCCAATGAAAGGTGATCCCACAGAATGTGGAAGTTATTGAACAGTATCATTGATATCAAACACAAGTAAAATCTTGTTGTTGTTGTTCTTGTTATGTGCCGTCGAGTCGGACCCGACTCATAGCGACCCCTCCTTGGTTGCCAAGGCAGTATCACTACGGAAGTAGATTGCCCAACCTTCCTTCCGAGGAGTGGCTGATGGGTTTGAACCGCCAGCCTTC